GAATAAGTCCACCTCCTCCCCATGTTTGTTGTGGGGTTTTGATAGGAGGTGGAGGGGGGATTATGTCTGGCTATGGTTTAGGAGTGTTTGTCATCTGCCCTCTTGAGTCCTACATTGGTCCCCTTTGTCTGAATGTCAGGCCAACAATGTCAAAACACACAATGTGCCTATCTAATCAGGGCACCTTGGCTTAAGAACCAACAACAGGATTTTTTTTTTGTATACACACAGAAATCGCTATTCAAGAAATATTGCTTGTTTACATGTAGAAATGATAAAAATATTATTTTTGTAAACTATTTCTATTTATTAGTTTAAAGGCAAGAGTGGAATCACATTTGTCATTTCTATATTGTGGTTCATTAGTAAAATCCATGAGAAATACACAAGAAATGTATTCTCAGAATATTGTTACCATATGAATTTTCCAAAGAGTAAACAAAGGCTTTTGATATGAGTCACTAAAAATCAACAAATTCTATGTAATGTTGCAGCGATGCTCGGCTCTTATAAAAGAGAAAATCCATCACAGAGGCAGAAGAGGTTCTCATCAATAAACCAAAATGATTTGCTGTCACATATTTACAGCTAATGCATTATTGCCAGTCGGGGATCCATCAAGCTACTTAATAGTTTCTTGAATAAATCAAACAAATGCATTTCTGAGCCTAAATTTGTTTTGAACCTGACAAAAATGATTGAAAAAAATGAACCAAGGTCTTCTAACTAATTTTAATCTATCTTGTATAAAAACACAAATATATCAAGAAATACAAGAGCAGATGAAACTTTTATCACTAATCAAGGTTTACTTAATATTGCAGAAAACTAGATAATGCTCTATTTCTTTTACTTTAATTCAACTGCTATTAGTAAGTTTACGTCAGTTAATATTACTTTTTTAGGTGGTCACACAGGTCATTTGCACAGCAGTCTCAGAAGAGTCTCTATGGTTCTACACAGAGCAACTCTGTATGAAATTTGAAAGAAAGATTCATTCATCACTGCACAATGGGTAACAAAGAGGGCACTGAGTTCTGGCCAAGTATCACAAGTTACACTGAATGCACACAAAACGGTCTAGCAGTACATGCATGAGGCAAAAAACCTCAATGACTGATAACCGTTCTGCAAGATTTAGCTTCTGTGGAAGAAAATGGCCTCAGTGGCTTTGAATTCAAATCATTTAGAGCTCCAGGAAATTACACACATTCCTCTTGCCCAGTTACCAGAATATACTTTAATGCAAATCAAACTTTCATGGAACATATTCAGTAAATTATTTATATGTTGGTGTTACATTGTTTTGTCTTTTATTTTCTTAAGAATACTAAAGACCAAATGCAGTAGGGTGTGTCATGAAGATGAAAGTATGGTTTATTATTGGATAACTTGTGTTTCCATTATACAATGTAATGTAAATTATGGTATTTTCTTTGAAAACAGCTTGTGTTCTGTGATTTTTTTTTTTTTTTTTAACGATTGATAAACAGATACACTACATTGGCATTTCCTGTTTAGGAGATTCTTGCAGTATCATATCAGTGACTAAATATACCTTTATTGTGGTATTTTATATTAAAGTGTAAAACAGAAACAAGTCTTTACATGACTGTAGTTGCTTTAATAAGAATGGTGGATGACTACCCGCAATTGTGTTTCCAAAAAGCCAAACCAATCTTTATGATAAGCTGGAGGAAAATATAGGAGTCTTAACTGTGTCAGCTGACTGGCAGTGCGCAGCATGAGGAGGGAGAAGGGTCGCACTGAATTACGTGAAAACGGTCCTCTAACCCTCCCTGATCTACATTCTTTCATTTCTCTTCATCCCAAAATCTGTTTTCCCAGTACAGCTTTTTTAATTAAAATATTTTTTTGTTTGAGCTCACAAAAACACATGATTGAAAGCATTAATCTATCAGCTTGCATCAGTAAAACGCTTCCTAATTAGTTGCTTTAATGAAGGTAAAGACGAAACTTGCAGTACAGGTTTATTATTTATGATGTTTGTTGGACTACAAACGTTTTACAATAGATGAAATAATAATTGGAAGTTACTCCACTTCTGTATTTGTTCTCACACATTACTATGAATATAACTGGGATTCTGTTGTTGCAACAGTTCTAAAGGAACCAAAAAATGTCAAAACCTAAATTATGAGGGTTTTTTTTTTCCTTTGGTCTCACATGAAAGGGGAAGTTTATTTTAAGATTCGATGTAATTTTCAGATGGTCTGACTGTACAGTGAGGTATAATAGACTTATGTATACAAAAGTTTTCTCAGTATACCCTTAAGGCACTTTCTCTTTTTAGCTAAGGTTTAAAAAAAGGATTTGGGATAAACACACCAGGAGTTTTGTGTGTATTTCTAAGTGTTTCTAAGAACTCACAATTACTGTTATGTGTGTGTGTCTGTGCTTGAAATCACAGATAAAACTAAAATGAAAGAAGTTGATTCCTCTTTTCAAGGCATGTGCCATATTAAAAAAGATGAACAATAGTTAAAGCCTCCTAATTGCTGTGATTCTGATGTTGCGTTCATTGAAATTTTTATTCAAAACTGAAGCGACTTCAGAAAGTTTGACAATAGGAGATAAACAGAAAAAATACCCTTAACATAAGCGTAAAATCCTAGCTTTTTTTTTTTTTTTTTTTTTTGAAGAATTCAGGGCTTCAGGACATTTTGGTTAATACAGTAGCAAAACACAAATGAATTCAAAACATCAAATAAACAAAGATGTTTTCATCTTCTGGAGGTACAAGAAGGCAAATGCAATACAGATGATCTGAGTGGGCAGGAAGCCTTGAAGGTTCGCATCATGTCTGCCACATTCTACCCTGGGGCATTGGCGTCTATGTGTTTGCACAAACACACATGGTTGGAAATACGAGCCACCATTCTCCGTCACGGCGCAGCAGGAGTCTGTCTTCATCTGTCCTATTGATTAATGAAGCAGGCGCAGTGGGTGTCACATGCAGGCAGGAGTCTAGATCAAGGCGCAGAGCTGCATCACTGTAGTCGTGCCACACAAACACAGAAATTGTCACAATCTTTCACTGTCTGTGGTATATCCCTCACACACACAGAGCCACGTTGAAACTGAGGGATGTGGCCCCACGTTCTTTGAGGCTCACATATATATAGATATAGATATAATATATATTCTATCCTCAAGCTCAGAGTGTAATAACATGGCTTGACACACCTCCCATAAAGCTAGGAATGTGTTTACCATAAATCCAATGTTTGTAGATTTGTTCGGGTTAATGATCCAATATCCTCTAACTTGACGCAGTGTTTATGTGTTTTTGCTAAAAAGGTACTGCTCTACCTTTCTGTCTCCCTCACCACCAAATGAGACATTCCCCAGACACCACTATAAGAGCAGTATTTATGCTATTAGGGGCCTTGGTTTGCAGGACCCGCAGTGGTACCAGAATGAATCTGCTAAAATTATGTCCTGACTAACCTCGGTGGGTTTGGTTCTGGTATTTTCTTTGCATAAATGAGAAATTATACATCATATACTTGTAGCTATTTTTAAGAATTCCCTATTGGAAAACTGCAAAAAAATCTTTTTTTAACCATAAAACCCAATAAACAGAGCTGGTTTTCAAAGAGAATATTTTTTTTTCCTTGTGTTTTCCAACTTTGCTTTAGAGTTTAAAAATAGGCTCTCTGTTCAAACCAGCTATTCCCCCTTTGGAAATCACTTTTTGTAATGGTAAGCATGGCGTCAAAGGGTTCACTTAGGGTGCGGCCACTTGAAACCCACCTTATTTTTTTTCCCCCCTTCAAGCGCTTTTTAAGCTGCACTCATCTCAGTCTGAATAGATAGCAGAGAAGTAGAAAAAAGAAATACTGACAGAAATTGACTGCCGACCCCCGCACCCACCTAACCAACCCACACACCCCTACCCACCCCCTCCCCCCTGACCTTCCTCCACCTATATTTTTCCTGCTGCATTCCCTCCCTTCCTCTCCTCTGGCGTTCCTGTCGAGGCATGCCTCCGTCCCCGCCAACCAGCATCTCTCAGGGCAGGATGAGGGGGCAAGGAGAGAGAGGAGGGGAGGAGGACAGACAAAGGAGCACTGTTGCTGCCTTGTTGAAGGGTCGACACCAGACTGGAGGGGTGCGGTTAGAGGGGTGCAGGCAAGGAGAGAGTGTGACCGAGGAGGGTTTATCATTAAGAAAAAGAGATTTGAATGAATGGAAGGATAGCAGGGGTGTATACACACTGCTCCCAGTTACAGGGAAGACAAGCAGTGCCACTCATTTTTCTGCACTTGCAGCTGGTACTCTATTTTTTTCTTTTTTAGCAGCGCTTGCACTTGGAACGAGTGTGTGCGAGGGACTGATAGAGGAGGGACATTGTTTTCTGGCTATTGTGCATTATTTGCTTAACCCTCGTGCTTTATCTGTGCAGCTGTACGCTACAAATGAGATGACGAAAAGGGGGGTTTCTGTGCTCAATGGCGGCTGTCACAGCTGTTAGCAATTTCATCAGCGCACTGTAAGCCCACCCCGCACGCACGCACGCTCGCAAAACAAACCGTGTCAATTATTTCGAAGCAGTTACAGCCATGAGAAAATTGCCCAAACTGCACATGTCAACACAGTTTAAGTGAAGAAAAGAAAGATGAAACTGACAGAGTAACAAGTCAAAACAGTTCGGCAAATTATAAATGACACTTTATGTAGTCATACGATGCCTAAGTATTTATGTTTCATTATATGACCACTCTTTACAGTAGACCACCAGTAAAGGTTTGCGAGCAGGAATGTTTGCTCTTTTTCTCTTTTGTAGTTCAATAAAAAAAGAATTTCCATCGCAATTATTTCTACCTAGAACTTCTTTTATGCAGGACAAATGAACTGGACACCAAGGGCTTAGAATTAAGCCCAACTTTTTATAATCTAGGTTGCTTCTTGACCTTAGTTCTTTAGAACTGTGTCTTAATTATTGGTTTTCTCCTTTTGGTCCTTTTATCTGACAGATCATGAAACGAACTGACAGGAGGAAGAGACTGAATATAATTCACAGTGTTGGTTTTCACCAAAGAGGAGAGAAAGGGAAGCAGACCCCAACTAAAGTGGCGAGCTGTGAAAAGCAGACTATCAGGTGAGTTTGTGGCCTGTTTCACAGCATTTCTCTGCTGTCTTCTCCACCTGGGTCAGTTGTACAGCTGGGGCAGGTTTGTTTTTTTGTATGTGTGTATGTTTTCTTCCTACCTTAACTGAGCATGTCTTGGTTTGTGTGTCTCTATTGCATGTTGAGCCACAATCAACAGGTAAATAAATTATTTTCTGTTTATAGTCATTGTCTTCCCTTTATCTTTGCACCTTGTTTAGCTATTTTTCCTCCCAAAAAACGCAAGTCTTTATAATTTGTTTCCATTTGTTTTTACTGTTACAACTTTCACCTAGCAATTTCTTTTTCAATAATACATTCCTGCAAAAAAAAAAGTAAGATCGAGAAAACCTTAAAGGGTAGCGTTCAACACGCACATAAGTGGTTATTTCCTAAAAACTGAGAAATGATGTCCTATTATAATAAAGGAGCCTTTTTTTTTAACAGCTACTACTGAATAATCACGATTTTTGCTTAAACAGCTTTTTTTCCTCAAAAGATAGGGCTGCACAGTTTAGAGAAAGATCTTATTGCAAAAATGCCATCAAATATTGCTACTCTATCAGACGATATCTGCTGTATTTAACTTAGGGCTACTTTTCCATCATTAACATTCACCCTAGTTTCCATGGAAGCTTTAGCATCTCAACCGATTGAGCTTACATCAGGTGTGGCCATCATGGTGAACTCAATGTACCAAGATTCCAAATGCATTTGTTATCTTGACTGTAGTGCACTAGCAAATCGTTAAGTATCATGATTATTGGCGTTTAGAATATCACTTTCTACATCATGCAGAAACTCCAAGAAGCAAAGACTGAAGCTTCAGAACATATTGAGGTTTGTTTACCATTTGCATTATTTAAAATGTTTTCATAAATCCTTTTGTTGCCAGTGTAGAGCTACAAGATGCTATTAAAAGAAAAAAAGAGATAGTTTGGTTTTTATTCCTCTGCTTTAGTTTAGGGCATTGTTGACATAAACATGGACAGTTTTTCACAGTAATGATGTTCAGTCACTGGCTTTTTTTAAATAGGCATTTCAAAATGGATAATTCTAAAAGTCCGGTTTTGCGGAATACTCCAATGAACTGCACATCTGGAAATTTGTTTTAAAAGAAAGAAATCTTGAAGAGGCTAATAAGCACCAAGCTGTGACTTTTGCACGTTTCTCTGACTTTGTGCTGACTCTGTTGCTATTAAACTTCTAACAAAAGCAAAGGAGCTAAGACATGGGGAATTAGCCTCACAAGAATTACAACCATTTTCAGACTAATCTGGAGCCTGGCTTTATTTAATCGAGGATCAGAATGTTTCATCTTTGTTAACATCTGCGTTTCTATCTCCTACTGATGCACCATCAACATTACAACATTTTGAACCGAAAGCCAAAATGCTGTAGATTAAAAAATTATTCAAAAATAGTCAAAGTGAATATTTGCCAGTGGTTTTTTGATGCAACTTTTTTTATTTTTGATGTAGGGATGAACTAATCAACTAATTTAGTAATCGATTAATCGTTATTTGGAGTATAGATACTGTAAAATATGGTTTTAGCTGTCAGGGCAACCTACTTAGAGCTGTAATTTTATTAAAATTGTTAAAGAAAATATCTAAAAATTTTGCATTTAAGATAAAAAAAAATGCTTTTCCTCTGCCAATATGCTCTATGCAGAACCCCCCCAAGTTTTAGTTTTGTCTGATTCAATTTTGTAAAAAATCTATTTGAAGAGAACCTTTGGCCATATGATTAATAATTGATTAATCGAAAAAAATAATTGACAGATTAATCAATTTGCAAATTAATCGTTAGTTGCAGACCTATTCTGATATGATATTGCAACTTTAAGCGTTGACTGATTGACCCTTTAAAAATGTATATTACTTAAATACAGAACAATAGTCAATAACAATATGTGAACAACTGACTTATTATTATTAAACAATGGATTACATAATCTTTAATGAAGAATTGGAATATTGTTAATAGTTACGTCTTGAGCTAAATAACATTTTCAGCTTTTCAACCAAATTGAACCCAAGTGTTCCTCATATGTCGAAAAGGTTTGCTGGTTTGTTAGACGCAATTTTAACCCCATTTGTCATGTGGAAAAAATACAAAACGGGTCACTACTTTGAATAACTTACTTCAAGGCAGCGGTGAACACTTCACCCTCCTTCTCTTATAAATTGCATGTAAAGTTTTGAGCAGGGTTTATGTCGAGCAGGTAGAAGCGACCTTAGGAAAGCTGTGGAGGCGGCGACTGATTTACATATTCATATATACACATATTATAAATGATAGGAAGGTGTTGAAGTACATCTAAGCTGTTTTAAGTCATGAGGGGATTATTTTTGTCTGCAAAAACTGAAGATAAGGAATTTTGAGTAACAGAAATGTTTTTTTGAAGGTTTAATCAATGCCAGGAGATTAATTTTTAAATCCACAGTGACAGAAAAGTCAACGGAAATTGCAAAACCCTTCTATTTGAAGTGGCCTATGGCCATGGAAACTTAATTAAGCAGGCAAAAAAAAGTTCTCCTTTGAGGAAATTTCTTAATCACGGTTAAATTTTAGTAGCCATTATTCTAATAATGAAACCTGCTGCTTAAAAACTCCACCTGTGATCAGAGTATCCATTTCATATAGTAAGATTTTTTTTCTTTCAGCCTGCATCAGAGCATAAAGAGCCAAACAATGCTTGGATGTAGAGAAGGAGAATAAATCATTAGTTTGGAGAACAGCATAGCCACAAGGTGAAATACAGGAATGAAGCTGGCAGAGGAGCCACCTTATTGTCTTAACTGTGTTTGAGTGTTTCCCAATGTGAGTGCCGTCTCGGTGAGTAATCTTCTCACTCTCTGTGTGAAGCTTAAAGCAGCAGTAAATCATTTTCCTCCATGCAGGCATGGACAGAACGGTCACCAGGGTACACAGACGGGGGGGTTGTTAAAGAGGAGATCCAGCAAGAGGCAAAGACAATGTTGTTTTTCTCCATACTTGTCACCCTCCCTACTGATGAAAACACTCCTGCACCTCAACCCTCGCCCCCACAGGCTACAGCAGCAATGATGGGATTTTTCTTCAAAGATTTTAAGGGGTTTTATTTGTTAAAAATTCATCCATTATTCACCATTTTCCCCCTCAAGGTTTTTAATAAAGTATAGAAGCTAGTTATACCTTTCTTTATTATAGCGCTTATTTATTTTTAATTTGTGTAAAAGTATTTTTTTAAACTCTCTTGAAAATGATTTAGACATTTTATGCAGGCTCACTGTAGCCTACCAAACTTTACTACGACTTATATAAATTTTCAGCTTCAGGTATTACATCATCAACTTTCAATCTAAACTGAACTCGAGCTCATGTTCTGTAGAAGAAACAGCAAATTCAATTCCACGTCTGGTCTTGTTCATTTCAGCTTAACTCATTCAATATCAAACCTGTATAGTTACACTCGGCTGCCTCTTCTTGCTCTCCATGTCATCCTCTTAACTTCTACAGGGCGTCTAAATTCATTTTATTCTTATTTCAGCTCTGTCTTTATATTTATTTGTTGCCTCATGTCTTTTTAATAATTTAATCATATGCAACCAGCATTTATCACAATTTATGTTCTTTTATTGCATTCATTTATGTAAGGAAATGGAATTATAAAGTAGCATATCTTTTTTTTTTTTTTTTTTTTTTTTTTACTAGCCACAGACGTAAGAAACAACAACAAAAAAAGATACAGGAGATGATGAAATGGTTTGGCAGGGTTATAGGAAGTTGAGCGATGGTTGTGTCTGTTTGTATCATACAAGCAACACAAGACTTTTTTTTTTTATATATAAGTGGTTTAGAACTCCTTTGAGGAAGAAATGCCTTCTTTCATCATCCTTCTGATGGATGTATTGTGTATCAACCACCTGGGATTAGTGGAGACGTAAATTGCGCCATGATAAACAATCCCATTGTTTTAGGAAGTTGTCAAAGGATGCATGAGTTGTCCTGGGAAGAAAGGAAGGATAAAGGTGGAGGATGCAAGAAAATATTCAGACATGCTGCTGACTTTTCCTCTTTACCCTTTTTTTCTCTGAAGACATGATGCATTTCAACCGCAGACAGAAATCTGTCTATACTAGCTTTGACTCAAAAAGCAGATTTAATCTCTATTGTTGTTCATTTCGACAGAAAGAGACAAGGTTAAAAAGGTTCAAGCTGCAGTGTATAAAAAGCTTTTCCTTTTACAGATTTATATGTATGGGATGATTTTTGAGGGAAATTTTCTTTTACGAATAACTGCGAATGTAGCACAAAGTTTTCCAGTGGGTTTAGTCAAGAAGGCCAGTTAATGAGCATGAAAACCTAAAAGAGCAGAAGACTAGATAACATTTGTGTTTGCACAGAGGTTTTATTGTGTCTGAAGCCACTTCACTTTGAAACTGGAGATATCAGTAAAAGATTCTTAGAAAATGGAGCAGAAGTGGTTTTACAGACAGTAATTTACAGACTGGAGGATAAGCAACAGAGACAGAAAAATGCAATTCACTAAATTTTAAAGTTAGGTTTTGAGATGATTGAAAGACAGACTGGATAATGTGGAACTAGTAAACCCAGAAGTGTTAAGGGTATGTGCAGTAGAGTCTCTAACGTCTTTGAAAGATCATAAAAGCGATGCACTTCCTGGACCCTTTTCTAATTGTTGTGAAGAATGGGATGGGGGACTCTCAACACTATGTGGCAGCTAAATGAAGCCTCCAAGTCCCTGCTGCACAGCTTATTGGGGCGATTCATTATTTATCACCGTGTTGGCAAAACCGACAGGGAAAGACAGAGGAGAAACAAAGAAAGTTTACACTGAACATTTAGTTAAGAAACTAGATGAAGAATTGTTACAGTGTCAGAGGTAAAGGTTAGTGGAAAAACAACAAGAGGGTTCCCCAGAAGGTAAAAATCCAAACCATCCATCAATCTCCTACCACTTATCTGTCAGGGTCATGGCGTGG